ATTCTTGTAATTTACCGCTTTCCAATTATACCATGATTAGACTTAGGGTTTGCATGTACATAAAATCGAACGCTAGATAACCTAATACAAGACAATTACATGAAATCAATACACAATCACACTTGCACCCCCTAGGGTAATCCCACATGTTGTCTTCCAAAATGGGCCATGCTTGCACGTCGAGTTTCTTTGGCAAAACAAATTCAAATGATCATAAGTCCCTCGATGACGCTTTCGAAAGTTTCCTAAAACGGAATGATCATAGTCCCTTCAAGCAAATTGCCAAAGACACTTGGCACCATTGCATTCATGGTCCATCGATGACCCGCGCCCGTCCCGTTAAACTTCCTAAACGCAAGATTGTCCACCAAATTCAATGGTGGAATAAAATTGTTAAAAAAGGTTGAAAACATAAAGAAAACCTTTGAGTATAATAGGGGTAGACAAAACTCTTAGTTACTTGAGATCAACTTGCAAAAACACTTGCCTCCTTTTCAAAAACCACACTTCATACACATTTTCAAACAAACTTCCAAAAACATTTTGAAACATCTTTTCGAAAAGATACACACTTTTGTAAAACACTCAAACACGAGTCAATTACAACGGTTGCCGAAACAAAGGCGTCTATTTCAAAAACATTTTCAAAACACACACATACACCACAATTTCAAGCAATCGAAAATCAAGGCAAGTGATCTAAAAAACCAAGTAACTAAGAGCCCATGGATAACCATGGATGAAAAGGGTGCTAATACCTTCCCTTTTCATAATCTATCCCCCGAACCCACGAAATATCTCAAAAGGTTTTTGCTGTGCTTTTTAAACCTTTCCTTTAGGATAAAATAAAAAGTCGGTGGCGACTCTTGCTAAACCGAACAAGTGCGAATACAAACGCAAAACTCAAGTCAGTTCTCCCACCGTATCACAGTTACCATTGGCAGCAAAGATGAACAAGGAAGGATCACACTTGCTGGGTTTGAAATGCAGCCTAAGAAGGGCCTCTTGCAACCTTTCAAACCACTGCCTAGGAGCCTGCTTCAGGCCATAGAGGGCTTTGTGCAACTTGCACACAAGGGAGGAATCTGAGTTAACAAAACCAGGAGGTTGATCCATATAGACCTCTTCATGAAGAAGCCCATTCAGAAAAGCATTATTGACATCAAGTTGCTGAAGTGACCATTTGTGGGTGAGAGCAATGGTTAGAATGAGTCTGATTATAATTGGATTTACAACAGGGGAAAAGGTCTCATTGAAATCACACCCTTGCTTCTGATGAAACCCTTTTGCTACAAGGCGTGCCTTGTACCTGCTGACTGAGCCATCAGGGTTCTCCTTGATGCGAAACACCCACTTGCAGCCTATACACTGCCTATTAGGAGGAAGAGGAACAAGAGTCTAGGTGTTATTGCTACTCAAGGCATCAAATTCAGACTGCATAGCCTCTTTCCACTTAGCATCTGCAAGAGCTTGTTTTACAGTTTTGGGTTCTGTATGAGTGAGTAACACCTTTGGTTGCACAAAACCAATTTTAGCTCTTGTTATCATTGGGTGTTGATTAACAGGTTTAGAGCTAACTACTACAGCATTAGCAGGAATGCAGCATGAGGGGTAGTTGTCAGAGGTTTTGAAAGAGAAGCCACAGAGGACAGCTGAGAAGGAGAAGGAAGATTGGTCGCAGGCTCAGTAAGAGAGGGAGAGATGCCTCCTGCTTGACTTGTAGAAGTAGAGGAACTGGAGGGGATGGCAGAGGCAGGCAAGTTAGTAGAAGAAAAAGGAACAGCTGTTAGAGGCGCAGGCTTAGGAAGAGGGATGTTGGAAAACAGGGAGGATAGGGATGATGAAGGAGTCTGGTTGGTGGGTTTATTGACATTAAGGGTAGGAGAAGTGGGTGGAGAAAACAGCTCCAGATAGGAAAATCTGGATTCATGAAACAAAACATCCTTGGATATATAAAGCTTGCCACTAGGGGAAAGACATTTATAACCCTTGTGAGAATTGGAGTAACCCAAAAACAGGCATTCATGAGACCTGAATTCCAGATTGTGCGCATGATAAGGTCTTAGAAGGGGAAAACAGGCACAACCAAACACCTTCAAGAACTTGTAGTCAGGTACAATGTGAAACAGAAGAGTATAGGGAACCTGGAATTGAATAGCTGAGGAGGGAAGTCTGTTTATGAGAAAAATAGCTGTGGTGAAGGCATAATCCCAGTATGTTAATGGTAGGGAGGCTTGACTTAAAAGAGTCAAGCCTAGATCCACAATGTGCCTATGCTTCCTTTCCACCACTCCATTTTGATGGTGAGTATGAGGGCAGATAACTCTGTGCACAATGCCAATGTCAGAGAGAAACTTGTTGAAGGGACGGAATTCTCCACCCCAATTTGACTGAACAGCTTTGATGGGAAATCCAAATTGCAGTTCCACAAGAGACTTAAACTGCTTGAAGACATTAAGTGCTTCAGCTTTAGTTTTAAGTAAATACAACCATGTGAACCTGGAAAAGGCATCTACAAAGGAGATATAGTATGTAAAACCTTGTGCTGAAGGTTGAGGAGAAGGCCCCCACAGATCACAGTAAACAAGTTCTAAAGGGTGAGAATAAGTGGTGTGTGAGGTAGGTGAGTGCAGTTTATGTGATTTACCCATACAACAAGCAGAACAGAAAAATTCATGAATTTTATTGCTAAGTTTGAGATTACAACTTTGTAGCACCAATCTCAAGGTGTTGATATTAGGATGGCCTAGTCTTAAATGCCATACATTGGACAAAGCAGGAGAAACCTCAACAGTATTAACAGAAGGTACAAGTTTATTTGAAGAGACGAAAGGCTTAGCAGACTTAGCAGATTTGGAAATATTGAGCACGGAAAACTCATACAGCCCATCAGACCCCACATGACCAATCAGCAGAATAGCACTAGATACCTGACATTTGACAAAGCACGAATCAGCTGTGAAAAGGAAGTATACATGATTGTCACGACAAAACTGACTCACACTTATGAGATTCTTGGTAATAGAAGGCACATGTAAGAGATTATTTAGTGTGAGAGGTGTGTGAGGGTGATTTTGAGAGAGAAATTGACTAGAACCAGCAGAGTTGATAAGAAGACCTTGGCCATTGCCTATGTAGATCTGTTCATGACCCTCAAGAGGTGTGGCCTGCTGCAGATTATTGGCATCATTGGTGACATGATATGAGGCTCCTGAATCAGGGTACCAGGACATAGCAGAAGAAGACAGAGTGACATTTGCAATGAATGTGCTGGGTGTAGAATAAGCAAGAGATGGCCTTGCTTGAGCAGCTGGAGGTCGTGTCCACACATTAGCAGGAAAATGGCCATAAGGCACCTTAGGAAACTGCCAAGGAGCAGCATGATAGGGACTGCCACTGTAAGAGGGAGGCTGAAAGTTCTGATTAAACATATGCCAACAATTTAAAGTTGAGTGTCCAACTTTGGAGCAAACTTGACACTGAACTGCAGAGTTTCTGTCACCTGAACCTTTGCCACGACCACCCCTGTTTGATCTACCACCTCTGAAACTGGAATATTCAGGCTCAGCACGGGAGGGAGCTACTTGTGAGTGAGTAGAATCAATGCTGCCACATTGAGGATTTTCAGGGGAAGCAGCTTGAGGTGAAACATGTGTAAGATTGAGATATCCAAGATCTGGCACAGTAGACCTCTTAAACCTGTTCAGCCTTAATTCATGTGCAACTAGGAGAATTTCCACCTCATCCAAATCCATATCACCAAACTTACTCTCAACAACAGAAACAACAGGAGCATATTCACTAGGAAGCCCCTCAAGAATCACACATCAATGTGATGAGAGCTGGGAATGGGATCTCCAATTTAGGCCAAAGCATCCACAGTAGTGCGGATTTTCAACAAATAATCAGAGACAAATTGAGACTCCAGAGTTAGGGCACGCAATTCTACACGCAATTGGCGTGCACGAGTTTGCTTCTGGAAATAATTGAATAAACGATTCCAGAGTTGATGCGAATGAGAGCATCCAAGGACACGCGACAGAATTTCGCTCGAAAGAGTTTATTGAAGCCAAGACAGAAGCAATTGATCTTTCTGAAACCAAATTGAATACGCAGGATTAATCATACCTTGACGACGAGCATCATCGTCCACAAATTTGGACGGAATTCGAGTGCACACCACGAGATCCGTGAGATTGTGCGCATTGATGTAGGGTTCCACCTGTTGACGCCAGAGGTGGAAGTTTTTCTCATCGAGTTTGTGCGCGATTTTGAGCGAGAATTGGAGACGACGCATTTCATCAGCCGCCACTGTGAACGGTGAGGTTTGCACCGTGACGTTAGCGGAAGACGGCGATCCCAGTGACGCCATGGATCGAGAACGGCTAATCTGATACCATGATAGAAGGAATAGAAAGCATAGAAGAACTTTTCATTTCTGTTATAGTTTGCAAAAGTTAGTTACAGAAGATGCACACAGTTGCATTTATAGGGCAACTTGTGTGACCTGCTACAGCAGGTAAGCTAGCACACAAGACTTGAAAAATGTCAGTCACAAACAAAGCTTAAAACTGAACTAATACTTCTATCTTTGACCTTACTCTAATACTCCTCCTAAACTCTTAAACAGAAACTTAAGAAAGTCAAAACCCTCTTCTCTCCTCCTAAACTCCTAAACAGAAACTTAAGAAAGACGTTTTTACTTCTACTGTTTTAGTTAACGTTTGGCACAATTGTGGAACCAAATTTCATATTTTGATCCATCTGATACTTATCCAATTGATATATCAGCCACATTTTACGGTTAGATCAAGTAGTCTGTTCATACAAAGTTGCAGCTGCTTCCAAGAAGATTGCATGGTTTATTGGTTGGATATCAAGTACTGGTAGATACCACTTGTCTTACAAAAACAAGAACAATATATTTTATGTGTTTAGAGCTTGTCTGAAATATATTAAGTAAGCTATCTCTTGTCTCTTTCATAGGCTAAGCTTCCAAAAGGTGGGGTATGTAATCTCACATTTCATACAGTCCCCTATGAAAGCCTTCAAGACAGTACCATGTGATCATTAATGAGCCATGGCTCCCACTAACACCCATTCAATAACTCATTCACCACACAATTAATTGGTTTTCAAAGTCTATATATATATCCATCATAGGGTTTACAAGCAAACACAAACCATTCATACCTTGAAGCATCAGAATTCAAGTTCACTTCTTTCTTCTATTATTTCTTGGAGATCATTCTACTGTCAAGAAACAGAACAAGAATGGGTTTTCGTTTACCTAGTATTCGACGATCATCATCTAGCAAACAAGTGGAAGTGCCGAAAGGCTATCTTGCAGTGTATGTTGGAGAGAAAGCAAGGAGGTTCATGATTCCACTATCATTCTTGAACGAACCTTTATTTCTGGAATTGCTTAGCCAAGCTGAAGAGGAATTTGGTTACTGTCATTCAATGGGTGGTCTTACAATTCCATGCAAGGAAGACATCTTCGTACATACAACTTCTTGCTTGAACAACCTATAATTAATTCATACAGCAAAAAATTCATATGAATGTTAGCATAGAACAGTGTAGATTGATTAGTTGAGACAATTTTTGTACATCAGGAAGTCCCGCCAATTTTGATGTTTCCTCTTAATTGGAAATCTGAAAAGAGAATATAATCAAACTAATATAATTAATACTAGAGATGTAGTTAATTAAAGCCTAAAACAGAATCAAATTATATTCTAATGAATTCATCTGTTGATATTTATTTCATCTTAAATACTTGTGTTGCATGCACAAACACAATAATGAAACCATGCCCCAATTTAATGGATACTGTCTATTACATACTAATCAAAAGATTATCACAATCTCCATACATTTAGTATCATTTCTTAAATTAAAAATATATTTTAACGAAAAATTACTAGACAATAAAAAATGCAGTTCACATTTTTTCACTCCGGGCTAGTTGAGCTTTCCCTATTTGTTCTGACTTGTTATGGTAGGTGCGTTTAGGATTTGGAGTAGAGATCTAACATCAAGATTTTAAAGGTTGCAGCATCATTTCAGACCATTTCCTACCCATTCAACTTGTCACCTGAACCCAACTGCATCCAACATCTTTTCTCAACCCTCTTTGTTTGATCAATACCCTCAAACGTCCAATTTCATCCCACATACCAAACTGGGCATATAGGTTGGATAGCATTACACAGATTCCACCATTTTGAGGATCCAACTCCAGAGCCCTCTGTGCCGCCAATTTTGCTAGCGCTATATTCCCACTTTCCACACAAGCACTCAGTAGAGCTCCCCACATTGAGACACTACAATTCCCTATACCCTTATAGTGTGTCTCATTAAGTAATTCCCATGCTTTGTGTAATTCTCCAGCCCTACAAAGCAAATCAACCAGGCAACTATAATGCTCTGGACCAGGTATCAACTTAAAATCATTAGTCATAGACTCAAAATACTTGATACCAGCATGTACTTGGCCAGTGTGACCACAAGCTGAAATCACGGTGAGAAACGCTATTCCATCAGGTTTGATTCCTTCCTGCAACATTTCCCTATACAAATCAATTACTTCCTTATAACGCCCATTTTTACCATACACACCAAGCATCGAAGTCCATAACACAAGGTCTCTAGTTGTTTCATTTTGAATCTCCATTCCATCCAACTTGAAAACCAGCCTAGCCTTCTCTACCATTCCACATTTTCCATACATCTGAACCAAGGCACTCTGCATAAACACATCACTCTCTATATCAGGCATAGTACGGAGCAAAAGACTATGCAGCTGTCTACCCATTTCAACGGACGATAATCCAGTGCAAGCACGTAAAGCTGCCGATAACGTAAAGTGATCATACTTCAATTTCAACACAGGCATCTTCCTAACCAATTCAACTCCCTTAATCCACAGCCCAGCCTGAGAATAACCAGACAAAAGTGCATTTGCACAGACAGTATTCTTGTCAGGAATTTCATCAAACACGAGAGCTGCATCTTTCACATTGATGGATTTAGAGTAATAATCAATAAGAGCAGTAGCGACAAAGACACTAGAAAAGAAACCAGATTTGGTCACGTGGGCATGTATCCGTTTTCCAAAATTGAAGTGTTTGAGTTTAGATGAAGCGGTCAAAGTGGTACACAAAGCGTATGTATCTAAGGAAACAGCATTGGTGTGCATAAAGGAGAAGGATGCAAGAGCATGAAAGGGGAAACCTTGACGACAAAAATGAGAAATGATGAGATTGAAGTGTAATGGGTTGGTTGAGTTGATGCATTTGAGGAAAGTGTTAGTTAGAGTTTGAAGACAGTTGTTGGGAAGGAAAGAGGTGTAAGTAGCAATGAGTTGGGTGTGAAGATGATGGAGAACAAAGAGAGTGCCTGTGGTGAGTAGGTGAGCATGGAGTTTCTTGATGGATGACAGGTTTTTAGTTACTTGACATTTCTGTAAAAATTCAATGTACTTGGACATGTAAAGATGATATCAAGGAGAGCATGGAAAATGGAAATAGTGTATATTACAAACATAAATCATCCATTTAGTTTTCGTCATCAAATGTTGATTAGAAAATGTTAATGTCTATTTCTACATAAATCAACTTATATGAAATTCTCTCCGGTTGGTAGCTATATACAAATGTGAAATTGGTCTTAATGCTAATTTCAAATTATATTTTTAATACTTGAATCTATTAAATATATTTTTGAGATTTTTTTTTTGGAATAATTAGATATTAAAAAAAAATTCACAAATAATCATGTTTCAGAGAAAATTACGCAAATAACCATGTTTTAGAAAATCTCATAAGAGAGAAGTCAATCAAGTTGGCGCATACACCTTATTTTAAAGGGGAGACGCCATCTCACTTGACGCTTATGTGTAAAAGGCTTGCCCTAAGTCAAGTGAGATGGCGCCTTAGTGCAAAAGGCAGACAATTTTTCGCGTTTTTTATTTTAAATGCGGTACGTTACGTAAACGATATAAGATCAAGAAAATTGACTTTTTATTTACACAATATGATTACACACATAACGATTACATAAAAAATACAGATTAATCAGTGGTCTCCCGAAACTCGGTAATGACCCTCGGTTCTGCATCCCCGTTCTCACATTTCCCGTGCTGAGTTTCGTCGCGTTTCCTATTGTGGCAGGGTCGATGGCCCAGCGAAGTCAATGCGTTCTGGATCCATGAAATCGGTCAGATCTTCATATCTAGAAGATCCGCTTTGATACAGTCAATTACTCATATCCTCAAAGTTTGGTCGTGTTGGTGGTGGGTGGGGTTCCATGGTTGGTCTGTAGCATTGATCGTCTGAGTACGGGGGAAGAAAGAAAATGGATCTTGGGGTGTTTGGTATTGGGAATGTTGGGTGCTTTGGTGATGTGGTGGTTGATGGTAAGTTGGGTCGGTTGGTTCATAATCTTTGGACAAGCCCAGATCATGGCTAAGGTTAGATGTTGAGGGACTCATATTATGATATGTAGAAGACTGGAATTGTGTGTGGGATATGCGGGTGTATTGGTATTGTGATTCAAATTGTGGTTGGGTGTGAGGCATATGGGGGTATTGGTACTGAGGTGGTGATTGTGGTTGGTTGTGGGGCATGTGGGTGTAATTGTGTTATGGTGGTGATTGTGGTTGGGTGTTTGTGGTTCTGTTTCGTCGGGGAGGTTGGTGGGAGGTTGATGTGTGTTGCATTTTTTGTTGGGGAAATGAGGGTTGTGCCCATTGTGTTCGTGGGTCAACCAAATACTTTGAATGAGACACGTGCATTTCTGGGGTACTAACTGATCTGTACCAAGCTAAATACTGATATGTGTGTCGCATATTACCATGGTTGAGGAAAACTGAGAATTGCAAGAAATGTCGGTGACGCCTCTGCCACATCTTACACCATTCTGGAGCAAAATCTTTCCAGTTGGTAAGACCCCATTGGACGTCGACCCTTTTGAGATGCCACGGGGACAAACAAGTTGGATCGCAGGGTATCTCTTGATGCATTCCAAACTGCATCTTGACACGGTCGTTGTGGTGCATCTCCACAATATTGAACCGTATGATTGCAGTCTTTGCGCTCCAAATTGTTGCATCTTTGGAGTTTGGTTCATGGTCCAAACCTAAATATGGTCTCCAGACAAACTGCGGATAAAATTAAATCAGCTTAATAAAAACGTAATAAATAAATAATTTAAAAGTAGAAAAGTTGAAAGGTGTGACGTACATCATTTGGGCCAAGGTGATCTAATAGATTGCGGTATAGAGCGACATTGAATCTTGGATTCTTGCTGTAATCCATACCCCTCACGCAGTACCTAAAGGAATTGAAAAATATTTTTTTATCATATATTTGGTGAAGAGATGAATAATAATAAATGATATAAGTTGATGACTTACTTTGTTGCATATGGGAAAACGAATGTGTTGTTGTTGACGGGGTTTAGGGACTCCATTCTCCATCAATCCCAGGCTTGAAGTAAAAAAGCACAGCCATAAAATGTACATTTTTCCTTGATTATATTTTTACACAAGGAACTGTATAGATGAGCTAAAACAGCATAACCCCAACTATACTTTCTAGTTTTTTCGAAGTCTCTAAGTAAATTTAAATACATAAAATTTACACTATTTCCCGTACTTTCGGGAAATAAAAAGGTTCCATATAGTATCATTATATAATTTCTAGCTTTTATTACCTTAGCTAGCTCGGAGGAATTTTCGTTCAATTCCAGAGTCGCATAATGATTTTTAGCTCAGTAAGTAGTATACCCTGACCTCTCGCACCACCACCTTCAACCTATCCCTGCCCAACAATTCTTCACCCAGAGAATTGGGTTGTTGAATCGACCCGTTAACCGCCTTACCATCGACAGGGAGACCCAATAACATGTACACATTCTCTAAGGTGACGGTACATTCACCTATTGGTAGATAAAATGTATGAGTCTCTGGTATCCACCTTTCCAACATTGCAAGTATGAACTTTGAATTAATCGTGCAGTTGAAGATCTTTATAACATTTCTGAAACCTGCGTATTCGAGATAGGGTACGATCAACTGGTCAGGAGCAAGGTAGTTGTGTGACCGGATTCTGAATCTTTTAGTATCCTAAGTTAAGAATGTAAAAAGTGTAAGAGTCGATAAGATGAATAAAGCATTAATAGAAGTATGAAAAATGTATAAGTATACAAGAAACTTACAAACGCTGCAATGTTGTCCCTTGTGCCTCTGTGAGAATCTCCCATTGTGAGAAGAGCCATTGTTGAAATTGTCTGAGATTATGAAAGAGTTTGAAATTGTCTGAGATTATGAAAGAGTTTGTAGCAGAGAGTGAGACGATTGTGGATGCAATAGAAGTGTGTCATGCTCTGTATTTATAGACAAACTTTTATCACATAGTAAGTGAGGTGGTTGGTGGGTGCATGCATGCATGATAAGTGTCACTCTTGCAGTGTAGGTGCAGGTTAGGTGGCAGCCTTGAGAAAGGCATCCCTGCATGCATGTAACACGA